TTTTCATTTTTGCTCTTGGGTAAATTCCTAGGAGTAGAGCTGCTGTATCATATAGTAGGTATATGTTTAACTTTTTAAGAAACTGCCCAACTCTTGTTCAAAATGGCTATACAGTCAGGCTGGCCCAGTGGCATAGTGGTTAAGTTCGCGCGCTCTGCTCCTGGCGGCCGGGTGTTCATAGGTTTGGATCCTGGGCGTGGACCTATGCACGCTAGTCAAGCCACACTGTGGCGGGCGTCCCACATAAAGTGGAGGAAGATGGGTGTAGATGTTAGCCCAGGGCCAATCTTCCTCAGCAAAAAAGAGGAGGATTGGCAACAGGTACTAGCTCAGGGCTAATCTTCCTCACACACACAAAAAAGTGGCTATACAGTCATGCGACACTTAATGACGGGGATACATTCTGAGAAATGTGTTGTTAGGCAATTTCATTGTTGTGCGAACATCATAGAGTGTACTTACACAAACCTAGATGATATAGCCTACTACACACATCTAGGCTATATGATACTAATCTTATGGGACCACCATCATACATGCAGTCCATCGTTGACCAAAATGTTGTTATGCGGCACATGACTGTACCATTTTACATTCCAAACATCACTGTATAGCATCTTTAAAAGTGCCAAACATCACAATAGTTACGGCAACTCTAAGCCCCAAAGAAGGTGCATGTTCCAAAGTCAGGGGACAGAGGCAGGAAGCATTTCATGCAGGAAAAAAGGATTTATACCAAAAGAGATGATAAGGTACCCTAGTACAGCCACTCTAACCTATGAATGACTGGTAGGTGCGCTGCCTTAAATTCTATCAGGAAAATATCTATTCAAATATAACCAATGTAAGATAAACTCATGTTTTAGAACTCTAACATGCAAAGAAAAGGAAATCTTAAAAAGGCAGCAATAAAGCTGATGCAAGCAATCACAATAGCAGCTCACCTGAGCATTATCTATTTGGCATTATGCTAAGCTTTGCAAGATTTATATACAGCCACTTTAGTGATCATTATCTCCATTTTACAGGGGAAGAAACAAGAGGCAGAGGAGTTAAGAATGTGGCCTCAAGGTGATTTGGCTTGTAAGAGGTGGAACCAGATCTGCCTGACTCTAGACAATGCTTTTCATGGCTACGCTAACTCACTGCTCCATCGTCAGGTTTCACATGCCACGTGGCCTGCTTGGAAGATATCTCTCTGCAGCTGAATGATACCATCCCTTAAGACACACTACTCCCTCTGTTTCTAATTTTGTACTCATCAAGCAATTTTCTGATATTTAACTGTTTTTCCAAGCCCATTCTCTACTTGGAAAAAGAGGAGCTGATCAGTCAAAAAGAATGAAGTGGATACTCTTGGCAGTGATTATCTCTTAGAGTAAATTATCAGACCAGGTATTCTGGTTTTGAACATTAATTTGACCTAAATTTGGTTCACTTGACTAATCATGGAGGCACCAGTATCCTCTTCTGACGATCATCATAATAGAGGAAAAATCACCAAGTCAGGGATGAATCCTGTATAAACCCACAACTGCTAAACTCTATTCCTAGAGTATAACCAAAAAAACAAAACAAAACAACCCACAAACAACCAAACAAAAAACACAAGGAACTGTTGGTGTTAGAAAAAAATCTGGCTGATAGAACTACTACATATATAGCTGGAAGCAATCTCAGTAGCCTCCTTCCTTCTCCAGCAGAAAAAATAAAAATATATTAGGCAAACTTCTAGTGTTTGCCTAACACTAGAAGTGCAAGGGTGAAGAGGATGAAAGGACAGAATTAATTAAAAAGTTAAGGAAAAATATATTACCAGTTTAAATGGCAGGGGCATATTGTTTCAGAACTAACTTACTTTCGGAAATACTGGACAAGTGACAAGTCTTACTGATGGATTAGAATTTCTTCCCACCATCTCCCCTTCTATATGCTACAATACTTGAGGACCTAATATTTTCAGGAAAAGCCAAAATTTAGATGTGTCTCTTCGTTTCCTCCTCAAAGGTTGGCCTGCTAATTCTTACTAGATTCATGGCCCGAACAGGAAAAAATCAGACCTATACTGACGTACAAGACCTATACTGACAAAAAGTAAGAGCTACTAAAGCTCCATTTTCTGTCTTCTAGATGACATCAGCGGTGGTGACTCTTAGAGGAAAGTATAACTGAAAGGCATGCACTAGAACACCAAAAAATGGGAATTCATTCAAAGCTGGGAAGTAGTACTGAGAAGTGAGAACGCTCACCATGGCACCTCTGTCTTTCCCATCAAGTCAGGAGAGCTGAGAACACAGTGTCTTCAGGAGAGTTTCGGGTTTTGGTGAGGTCAAGGAAGTAAAAGGAGGATGGAAGATTTTTTGAAGACACAGTGAATTGCAGCGTTACGTATAGAGTTAGGAAGCACAGATTCTGTATAGCAAAAAAGGGTAAGAAAGAAGGAACTACAACTGACTCATATTTCCTTTTTTAAAATATTTAACCAGTGACTCAATTCTCTTTCATTTTCTTAGCCAGTCGCTTCTTGTCTGAAGTTCAACTTCAGCCCAGTCCCTTTCAATAATCACAAATTCTGAATTAATAAATTTTAATGATTTGTGACTTCACCTCAATTATTCCTATATGAAGGTTGAGGGAAAGGAAGGACAGACCAGAAACAGGACAATAATTGTTGGGCCAACAAATGGTAGGCACAAAAGGGAAGATAAAAAATACATAAGTGTATTTGTGTATGTGTCACATATTAAGTCACCAAATGGGCTGGGCCCAACTATACAAAAGGGAAAAAAAGCTTTATCACAGCAAATTTGTCAAAACCTGTAGGTATCACAAGTATCTGCCAAGGAGGAAATTTTGTTTATTCTGATTATTTCGAGTTAGAGTCAATTTTGAAAAAGAACTGATAGTAAGTAATGCTAATATCAACCTCTGGTTGTTTTCATGGTTTACTTTGTGGAGCCTACACGGCAGCATCCACAGAGTCATTTCACCTTGAGCAGCACCCATAGAGTCATTTGAAGATTAATGCACTCTGATATCTGCCATAATGTTGCAAATATGCATAACTCATCAACATAAGATATAGATATTGGCAAAATGACCCTTTCGGTACTTTAAAAAATATTACAGAATCACATAATCTTCATTTTGAAAGCAACCATTAAGATAACCTAATTTAGTCCTCTTCTCTTACAGATGAGGAATTTAGAGGCTAAAAGAGGGATTTAAGCAACATGCACAAAGTGGAAAGAACATAAAATCTCTTAAAAGCAGAGAATTAAAGAGAATCAAATCAAAAAGAATCAAAACCTTTTAAAAAGAAAAATGCCTTTTAGCTTCATTTTTCACACAGAAAATAAGAAATTATATCCTCTCTCTCTTGCAAAAGAGGACTCACACCATGCCAAATTAGGTCTTTTCTAAAATATACACTCATTCCTTCAGGCAGATACACTACCATACTGTTCTTTCCTTTTACATTCAACTCTAAATCCCATCACCTAACTGAAGTGTTTTCAGAAAGTTTCATAAAATTGCTGAAGCTCAGCAAGTTAAGCATGTTTATTAATCCTCACCCCAATGTACCTACTTTTAGGAAAAAAATTAGAGGTAGCAAAATCTAAATGTAAAGTGACCTTTCTTTTGGATATTAGAAAACAGAGGTAGATAGACTGGAATTTTTATTGTTTCCAAGACCCTCCCAAAAGAGAGGATAGCTATTTAGAACAAAATAGGTGTGGAGTGGATTAGGATCTGTATCATCACACACTGCCAGTGGTTCTCAGCAGTGCTCACTGGGAGGTAGGCTACACATCAGAACCAAAAGAATTGTGGAAGCTGTATTTTAGCGAGAACCTAAAATCTGCCTACGGAACTCCAGTGGCATTTCAACATCTTTACTTAAGCAAGAGGGCAAGGGGTAATATTGTACACAGCCCTAGAATTTACCCAGTACATCTCGCACGTATATCCAGAGTCAGCTTGTAGATCTGAGAGGATAAGAGGGGACAATCTGATATCACTCATTTGATAGAAGAGAAAACTTAAATCCTGAGCGACTCAATGGCTTGTATGGTCCTTCTGACAACTGACAATTTCCATTTAGAGACTTCTTCTGCAAAGCTATTCGGTCCATAGATAGTAGGAAGGAGATCTGATGCCAGCCAGATATTTCTTCCAGTATAATTAATACAATGACTTTCTGGTTGATAAGGTTTTGACACTCCAGAACTCAATCCAACAATTATACTGACAAAACCATTTCTAATCTGCAAAGCTGTTGACACCTATACCATGTAAACTCCACTAATGGGAGACCCCTGATGTCCGATTTGAAGCACCTGTTGGTTACCTACCACAATAAGAAAATTCTGAGTTATGTATAAATAAGTTGATTTATTCATTCACATTCTCTACCCCACTCCCTCTTCTCCCTTCATCTCCCTCCTTTTTTCCTCTCCTCCTTCCTTCCTCTACCCCAATGGTATGCAGCAGGGATCAGCAAACATTCTCTGTAAAAGGCCAGATAGTAAATAGTTTAGGCTTTTTGCACTTGTAGCACAAAAGTAGCCACAGACAATCAAAAAATGAACGGGCATGGGTGTGTTTCAGTAAAACTATTTACCAAAACAGGCAGTGGGCCATATTTGGGTCACAGGGCTGTAGTTTGTCAACCCTGGTATAGAGTAGCAGTTCTCAAAGTTTAGCCTGCATCAGAATCACCAATAGGACTTGTTAATACACAGATTTCTGGGCCCCATCCTTAAAGTCTCTGATTCAGCAAGTCTGTAGCGGGGCCTGAGATTTTGCGTTTTTAATAAGTTCCCAATTGATACTGATGCTGCTGGTCCAGGACCACACTTTGAGAACCACTGGTATAGAATAATGATCTGTGATGCACTCAGTGGAAGGCTGAAATGTAATGAACAATTAGGAAAGTGGAAATTACATGTTGTAAACTTGACTGCTAATTTTATAGAACATTTCATATGAAGACTTACTGTTAAGTGCCATAATATTATCTGTTCCTGGATGATGGAAATTTATTCCCATGCGTCCTAAAAAATAAAATAATTTTATTTTAAGCACAAAGAAAAGAATACAATATAATCATTTCAAATACACTGTCAAACATAAACATTACAAAAAGTTAAAACAGATTAATCTATAACAATGCTATCAAAGACCACAGCAGTTACAAGTTTTTAAATCAAGTCATAAAACATAAACACAAAAAACCTTAAGACGAAGCCAAAGTCGCAATAACAACAAATAAATAAAACAAAACAAAAAAGATGCTTCCAATATAATAGTCTGAAATTTTAACGTCTCCCGCATTCCGATTTAAACATGCCAAATCCTTAGATAAAGCATTTTATTTAAACAACCATTCACACCGCTCTTCAAATTCAAGCAGCAAAATAATAAATTCAAAGAAGTATATAAACCGGAAGCTTAGAGAGAATAAAAAGATAAAGGTTTCATAGTGGCTCAAAAATGCAACATAATTATCAGAATGGCAACCAGAAGAAAGATGGCAAAATTTATACAACAGATATAGTGGGAAACAACGACTGGCCTAAAATCTAGGGTTCTTATACTGCCCCTACCACTAACTAGTTATGTGATCTTGGCATAATGCTTGTCTCCAGATCTTGGACCTTATAGTAACAAGGGTCGTAAACTTCATCTGCTCACATGGGCTGACTGCCTGTTTTTGTACGTCTGGAAGCTAAACCATTTTTACATAAAAGAGTTATAAAAACAAAGATAAAAATTAAAAAACAAAGAATAATGTGTGACAGACAGCATATGGCCCACAGGTCTAAAATATTTGTTCTCTGGTCCTTTACAGACAAAGTTTGCCAATCTTTGGTCTATAAGATGACAAGTCTGAATCAGATGTTTCAACTAATAGCCTCCAGGGCTAAGAGTAGAAGATGTAGACATTTGGTATGTTTTTTCATTAATTATTTGGGAAAAAGAGGTGGATGTATCAAAAGAAAAATGAAACAGAGAGAGAATCTTATATGAAAAAAAAAGTGTACTTAGTATGTTTTCTTGGCCAGTTCCTTCAACAAAATAGTTATTGAAACAATGCTTTTGTGTAAAGCTAATATCTATGAACTTGGCTCTGCGAGAATTTCATGTCCACTATGTCAAAGGTTATCAGGAAATTCTCAGAAAAATATTAATTTTATGTCACTATCTTGTTTAAATAAATAAATGTCAATAGTATTTTGGGAGAGAGTGATACAGAGAAAGCTGGAGATATGGCAGAAGTGACTAAGTTTACAACAAATACAATGTTATATATAAATGCAAAAGGTCAGTCATCATTTCGTTATGGGGTACTGGAGGCAAACAGCATTATCAATCTCTTCGAGCCCCAAAGAGAAGAATCACAGTGGACAAAACAGAGCATTTGCTTCAAATAAAAAGAGGGAATCATGAATTCCTAGTCAAATCATTTTTTTGCCTAGAGAAGGCCAGCCTAAGGCTAGACTATTTTGCTAGCATTTATATTATAGTAAAATTCTTTTATAGAATATATTTTAATGTTTTCTATAGAAAAATCATTATATTAGTAAAAAAATCATCTCTTTAATAGAAGTGCCTATTTTATTTTTTATAGATTTTGTAGATCTTTTCATAATTAGTAGAAGCTAATTATCAGGAATTTCAAAAACTAGCTATTGTTAAAAGACATATTTAATAGTATCTATATATATAATTGCTCTATGTTCCTTACATTTTTCCAGCTACTAAGTCGTTTTAGAGTCCCTAAAAATTACAGTCTACACCATATGCAATGAGTACTATCTCCTACCACTACCTTGATCAGAACCTATTATAGGAAAATTTGTCACCAAAGCAAGGCTTTGACTCAGTAGGAAGAATTTACTTTCTGGTTTTACACAGTCATATCAATGTTCTTTCCTTTATTATTTTCAGATAATCAAGACCTTATTTGGATTCATTACCACCAAATACTAACATCTATCAAACTAGATGTGATTTATTCATCATATTCTGAGGTATTCACATTTTTTTTTTTTATAGAAGACCCTCATCAGTGGAGAGGGCTTCTTTTTTTTTTTGTGAGGAAGATCAGCCCTGAGCTAACATCCATGCTAATCCTCCTCTTTTTGCTGAGGAAGACCAGCTCTGAGCTAATATCTATTGCCAATCCTCCTCCTTTTTTTCCCCCAAAACCCCAGTAGATAGTTGAATGTCATAGCTGCACATCCTTCTAGTTGTTGTATGTGGGACGTGGCCTCAGCATGGCCGGAGAAGCAGTGCGTCGGTGCACACCCGGGATCCAAACCCGGGCCGCCAGTAGCGGAGCGCACACACTTAACCGCTAAGCCACGGGGCCCGCCCCTGAGGTATTCACATTTAACAGTAAATAGCCAGTCACTGGAAAGTCTACCTAAAAACCCAACAAGAGTTCAAAATTACTGTCCATCAGAACCTAAGGAAATGGCATATAGAGAAGGTCTCTTCAATTTTGACCAAGGAATATTGAGATGCGGGTGTGGTTCCTAAAAGCTAGAGATGTTCCCTAAACATTCATAGAATAATAAAGGGTTATCAAGAAAACCAAGCACACCCAAATTTAGCTGATCCTCATTCAACTTCTTTTATTTCCTGTGCTACAATCATTTATGGTAAAGAATTATGTAGTTTAAAATCACTACATCAAGTAATAGTTTTTGTATGGTTCTGGAACTACTTATGTTCCCAAACTTAAACGGGTGCCCCTCTCTGTAGTACTCTAGAAGCTGGATCCTTTTTGGACTCTTTCTATGAGGTCTTAGGACTTTTCCTAAGATGAAACTGAAAAGAAGCTTAGTAGTTTTCCAATTATCATCTTCTATCCCACACTGACTGCTTCCAATTCAATCTTTTCTAAAGATGCAGCAAAACAAAAGCCTTAGGCAATGTTTTGTAGATGAAGGTATCACAAATTGTTGCAAACAGAAAACTTTTTGCCTTTCCTGGTATCCTCCCTAATTCTGTCGGCCTCTTTGACTTCAACGAATCTCTGGATCAACAAGAGATTTTATAAGAAACTCTGGGTCAATGCCAGACCCATCGGAACCAACTATTTAAAAATAATCTAATTTTTCCCAACTAAATGCAAATTCTGTTTAGTAAAAACCACTTATGGCTTCTGTAAGCTACTTTACCTCTTCACAAATTAATGTTTAGATTATAAAATACAATATATTTTCACTGGAGAAAAACTAGACTATAGAGAAAATGAAGAAAACAAGATCACCAATCAAAGACAAGCTCTGTTAACATTTTGATTTATAGTGTTCCAGTTTAGGGACTGTATTTCTTTTCTAAAATTGGAATTATTTTATAATTTTATTTTTTACTTACTATATTGTGCATCTTACATTTTACAGTTACTATGGGATTTTGGAGGAGAGAGAAAATATATAACAGCAAAAGAAAAACTAATTCCCAATTCAGATGAGGCCACTTCTTTTTTCTTTCTTTTGTCCAACAAATACTGCTGTTTAATCAGCTGTGAAAATAGAATCAAGTGTGTGACATCTGGGGATTTTTGTTAATGCAGTCTGGTGTTGCCAGCGTGACATTTTGTCACCTGTCCATGGTCTGCTATTTTTAAATTGTTCTTGTCAGCTAGCTATCTTTTAAGTATAGTGTAAAATATACAGTTTCGAAAACTGGAAGGCAGACTTGGTTTTACTGAGTTAAATGATGCTGTGGAAACCTGAGACTGTGTCCCACTTTCCTCACTGCACAGGGCCTGATAACGGGGGTTAGAGGGGATGGAGGGAAGAGTTGTAGAATAGGGTCACATATGGTTATTCAGACTGTAAAAATCACAGACTCATGAGCTCAATTCACATTCATATTTAAAAAGTTAGTTATAAAAAACTACCTCTACTGTTAGTCAAAGTTTCAGAGTCCAACTAAACCCATACTTTTATATGTCCAAAATAAAAACTGGAATTTTTATTAATTCATAATTAATTATGAAAGTTCTCTCTTCACTTCTGCAATATATTATGATAGTAAACAACTGCTGTATCTTCCTCTAATCATCCCTATTTACTCTAAAAAGTCAAGTCCTTTAGAGACCTTCACATAACAGAATGTGAGTGCTGTGTTCTAGCATTATAAGACAAAATGAATATTCTACAGAATTCTATATTCCACCAATTTTCTCTATAAAGCTGAAGATACATTCCTTCAGAAAAAGTATCCACAAGATGCAATAATAAGATATGTAAGAATACAATAAAATGGTGTTTTAAATCCTTTTTAAGGAAAAACGATAAAAATTTGGTACTATAATATTCTAAATATGTTCCAAAGAAGTAAGAAGCAAAAGCTGTGAGCTTAGACCTGAGGTCAAATCTTAGTTTCTTCTCATACGAGCAGTGGCTAATTTTTGACATGTTATTAATTCCTTTGCACCTACATTTACTCATTTCAGGCTGTCCTCTAGAACAATTAAATCAGAAATTCTGGAGGTAGTGCCCAGGATTAAAGTACACATAATTTTTTTCTTTTAAAACTCTCAGGTGGGCCGGCCCCGTGGCTTAGTGGTTAAGTGCGTGCGCTCCGATGCAGGCGGCCCAGGTTCGGATCCCGGGCGCACACAGACGCACTGCTTCTCCAGCCATGCTGAGGCCGCGTCCCACATACAGCAGCTAGAAAAATGCACAACTATGACATACAACTATCTACTGGGGCTTTGGGGGAAAAATAAATAAAATTATTAAAAAAAAAAAACAAAAAAAAAACCTCTCAGGTGATTACACTGCTATATTGAAAGCATCACTGGGCAAATTAATGGGAGGTGCCTACCAAAAAAAAGAAAATCACTCAACTTCTACCTACTGTCCCCCCTCGTACAGATCAAAAACAATCACTTCCTGCTAACTCAGAACCTGTGCCCTAACAGTTTGTGCAATCTGCTAACTTTTATACAAGACAAACTGATACGGGCCAAAGGGAGGTAGCATAAAAATAGAACTGGAGCAACGATTCAAGTAAGTAAAGAGAGTGTATT